CCCCAAAACCCCAAAACCCCAAAACCCCGGTAAAGACTCCTAGCTTTGAAATAAAATAAAATGGCGAACAAAATCCTTACAGGAGTTTCTAAATACATGCTTAGCACTGTTAAAGGAGTAGATATGTATGTATCAATTTCTTAATCTATTATTTTGATGACTGGTCATTAATAGGTACCCCAAAACAATCACGTTTACATTTAAAGGACAAGAGTAAGTCAAAAAGATTTGAATTAATTCAAAATGGTCGTCTAGATTGAGAAGTTTATCTAATTCTATATAGAGAATTCAAGACTCTCTTTGGAGGAATTGTAAGATAAACTCTTAAGTTTAGATCTCTCTGATCATCAAGATAGTGATCCTTCTGTACACCTACCAAATGATATCCATCATGATTAGTAGCAGTTTTATCTGATTACTTAGCCAACAAGAATAGTTCCAAAAATGTGAACACCACTGTTCAGAGTAAGGTTCTAATTTAAAAAAGACTCTGTCTCTACCATCAACTATCCAATAGGTTTGGATTTCAAGTTTGTATTAAATATTTTGAATGTTTCTTTTTGGTGTTAAAACTATATTAATATCATAATTTAGACATTTTGAACGACACAGATCCTATTAATCTCACGTAACTTTATGCCTAATTCATAAGTGGTACAAAGTTTCAGTTTGCAGTCAGAGCCACAATAGATGGAATTGATTTTGACATGTTCAATGAACCAAGCTATGGTACAGCTTCAATCACACAAGTTTACATAAACCAAAGTAATTTTGCTACTAATTTTAGCTTCTGGTAATCCATTTAAGAATCTTTGTAGGAGTCATTAATCAGGTCCCTGTCGGTGTCTCTAGATGTGGAAACAATTTTAGATATGACAACCAACAGGAAGTAAGCTGATAAACTATATATAGATTGACTATCTCAAGCTTAGCGAGTAAATGTGTCGCAAATAGCATTTAGATTTTACTGTCCTGATTCGAGAAATTTCTCGGTGCTTGGAAACATTCACTCAGAGACTCTATCATTCTTCTCCTTCAGTGTTGCTAGGCAAGAGTATAGTATCATTAGTAGGTGTAACAATGCAACTAGCTCTGTTACTTGCCAAACAAATTCCACAATTGACTCCATCATGACTAAGATCCAGATCAGACTCTATGTTGTAAGTTTCATCACTAGCAAGCTTCATTTGTTTCATTTTCAGTATAACTTGTACCTTTATTTCGAACAAATCTTTGAAAAAGTTCAAAATTTTCTGATGAAGAGTCGATCATTTTAGGTGAACACATATTTTGACTTTGAAGACTATGAAAACCCAATCAAGACATATCTCGATGATAGGTTCTTGTTCTACCTCATGCCAGGGTTTTCTCAAAATATTGGTGTCAGGCTTCAGTAAGCAATGTCTTAACTTTGAGGAAAAATGAAGCTGAAATCCAAGACAATTACTTAGCATTCGCTCCTGGAGGAAATGTAAAAGAGTTCATCGGCTTTGATACAATTATGGACCGTACAGCCACAGAAGGGAACCCCGATGAAAGTCTTCTTTGTAAGACCATGCTCATACTTCATAGCTATCTCATTCACTAAAGATTCATCTTCAAAATCTTATGAACGTTCAGTCTTTACTGTCCTGGAAGCCTTTGGAAATGTCGGCGGTCTTCTTGAGATATTTTCGATTGCTGGTGGGCTCATCGTTGGTTTATTTGCAGAGAGGCTGTTCTTTTACACAATATTCTCCAAAATGTACCAGGTGGAAGAACCCAAGGACGAACAAGAGGGTAAAAGCTGTCTAAATTGTAGAAAGAAGAAACTACTCTCGCAGGATGGTGAATGCTCAAGATGTAAGGGATAACTCTAAATCTAACATAAAGGAAGAAGAGGAACACAAGGGCATCGATAATGATCAATACCATTCAGAGACACCAAAAGAAGAGTTAGCAAATCAAGCCAAAGAAGCAATTAACAGGAGGACTAAATATGGCTGGAAGTTCACAGATCTACTTTATAACATCTTAATGAAATGAATTATTAATCCTTTCACGATCTGTTGCAAATAAAAAAGCCGATAATTCTTCTGGGTGTCTTAAATGATTGTTTTGTTGCTGAATAAATAGAAGAAATAAGCTCAATCTAATGAAAAGGGTGGAATACTATTCCAAAGGTGAAGACAAATATGCTCATGAGTTTGATGCTGTCAAGTTCTCCAAGAACATGAGGCACCTAGAAACTATTGTTGCATCTCTACTCGACGATAGTGAAAAATTTGTCATAACTCACCAAAAGTCTAATGTGCTGGCTCTCGATGACAGTGACAGCAATAGTGATCATGAAGAAATACAGCAGCCTAAACTGTTTGATGGAGAAGCAAAGAAAAATTTATACAGAGTTAAGGTTAAAAGATTTATGGTAATGCATAATTATGTAATTGTAGGATAAATACATGAACGAAGAATGGACTGAAAGAGATTATCAGCTATGATCAGGAATATTCTCAAAAAACTCACTCAAAAGTACCCCATCTCTCTCACCCATAGACTCCAAAATCCAAGCAATGATGTCAGCACCACCAAGCAACAGACCCTTACTACCTACTAACCTCCCTGACACCCCTACAAACCTTCCACCAGAGTAACCCCAACCTCATCCATAGAGAGTCCAAGCACCTTTCCCAACCCCCAAAACCAGCTCCCCAACTATTCATCTCCAGAGCCTCGATGCACTCAGTCCATTCCCCAAAATCCAAAATCTCTTCAGCTGAATATCCTTAATCTCAATCCTTCCTAGTCCTCTTGGGGTTTTGGGGTTTTGGGGTTTTGGGG